ATTGAATTAATTATTAAATAATTTTTAATTTTTGTAAACAATTATGTGTAGCTAATATCATGACAAAATTGATAGGTATCATCACAGTAATAAAGTATATATCTACATTGTAGTTCTCCGCTTTTTATTGGCTGTCAATCATACAAATATATATTATGTAACACAGACAAAAATCAACCAATCAGAAGTGGAGGAATTACGACATGTGCCAAATTTGAATTAGATGTGCATACTGAAAAAAGCTATTACAACTGTGATGATACCTATCTATTTTTCCATGCCTAATATATAATAAAAAGAGAAACAAAAATGGGCAAAAACCTTAGATTTAAGTCTTGTTTGTTTGTCTTGTTTGTACCATATTACCTATGTTTAACTAAAATTAAAAGTGACACCTAAAGTCTTTAATCCATTTTTTTTATTTCTTAAAAAAAAAATAATTCATATTTTTATAATAGATACTTAGTTATAGTTATAATAAATAAAGTAGTAGAGCCTACCTATTACATTGCAGTAATATTTGTAAAATAAATAAATAATATAATAATTATTATACCGTTAATATAAATTTTATTTAAAATGATCATTTGTATTACCTGCAGCCATTAAGTAATAAAAAGTCTGCGATATTTCAAAAATTGTTGGGTTCTCTAGGTGAGAAGGGTATCCCTCTTAAAAAATAGCACGTAAAGGCTTTATTTCATTTATTCGTATATAGAAGTTTTATGTTATAAACATGCATATATTTACTATTTATAATTTGTACGTTCTATGACTACTATTATCATACATGTTATGTTTATATGATATTGACAATTGTATGCTTACATAAGTAGCTATATATATATGTGTGCTATATATATATATATATATATGCTATGTGTATATATGCTATACATACTTATATAAAATAATGGTATAATAATAATACACTCATACATTTATGAAAAATTAAATACTTACCTGGTAGCTATAACAAAATAATGTATCTTGAATAAAGAAAATGTATAAATGTGTACATATTATTTGATATTAATACAAATTCTAACAATAATTTGACTTTGTGTATAATATAATGTGTGCATACCTACCTATAAATACCTTTGAAAGCAATTCGTCACTATAAAATGTTTGTATTTTCTATTATATATATTAATATATTATGCAAGAAGATGTTTTTATCCTAAAACACTCGTCACTCATTATATTGAAAATGTATTCCCATTTGTGCATCCATTATTTTTTGTTTTTAGACTCTAATTATGTTTGATTTGATTTTATGTTTTTTAATGAATTATAGTAAAAAATTGCTTCAATATTGATCTTTGATAACTTTTCTGGTAGGAAAGTGAATAGAGTTGGTATTTTGGGAGGTTAGAATCAAAAATGTCTAGTACTTTTTTAATAATTGAAGGGGGAATTATTGAAACACGGGAATAATATTACATAAAACCAATTTTTGAAAAATCGGTTCTATTATTTTATTGTAATTGAAAAACAAATACAAAATGTCTATAATATTAGCATTTGATAATCATGGTGACATTTTCAAAACATTTTGACCTTTTTTTAGCTATTTATAGACATTTTACTCTTTCTTTAGTCTTTTTCTATAAAAACTAGTAATAAAAAAATTGCCACTCAGTCAAAAAGCTTGAAAATGTAATACACGGTTCCTCATGGTTTATACGTTTTTAATAAGTACCTACATAATTATCGAGCCTAGAACAAAATAATATATTATTATAATTTTATATATTAACGTATAACAAGGTTTGTTTCTCACATGTGTTCTATATGAAAACTAAGTGAACGCACATCAGATATCGATCATAACTGATTGAGAAGTGATTTTTGTATTCAAACAAAAACAAATTAAACACATTTTTTCGAGGAAATCTAATTTAAAAATGTTTGTATTATACCCTTTTTCTCACTTCATCCGTTAATATATAATATATATACCGTTTCAATATAAACAACATACTTTAATAACTTTATAAATATATATTTTTTAGTGGATAATTTTCAATATGTGATAGATATTTAGAAATATTGTGTTGTTCATTACCTATTGTTATTATAAATAATTATTGTAGTATAATACAGTAGATGCTTTAGCTTTAAAATGATTTGAAAATAATTTCTGACAGATCTACCTATACGTTTAATGGGTAGATAAATAGATTCAGTCTTGTATAAAGATACTTTAGAGAGTACAAATATCCTAACACGATGTTACAGACTTACCGAAAACCTATTACATTTATGTTTAACAAAAAACATTTCAAACGAAACATAAAATATAATATGAACTTGATATATTGAATAATGTAAGAATGAAATAAAAATACAGCTATATTTATAATACCAGTGATTCTTGAGATAATAATTTATGTTTTGTTTCAATACAAATTTAATATTTTGGAATTGGAAAAACAACATATTAACATTTATTCTATTTATTTTCCTACACAATATACGGCCTGAACTGTATGGGGTCAGCTCCTCCACCCATGCCCAACACCTTCATAAGGCTCGGTTCTCTCTCCTTTATTCTCTCCAGATATGTTCGTGTTATTCTCTATTCTATCTCCATATCTTTTTTTAGTATTCATCTTCGTTTCTTTTATTATATACATTAATTTCCATAGTTGCTCACACGGCCTCAGAATCACCTGTCTTCATAACAAAACCGAACCATCTCAACCTATTCTCTATAATTTTGTCAACAGTTGGTGTCACTCCTGCATTAATCCCTAATGAATTAATTTATTATTATATCCTCCATAAGATTATTATTCCCCACATACATCTTAGTATTCTCATCACCGCTGTAATAACCTTCTGTACCTACTGTTTTATTGTTCACTGCCCCAACATTCCGATTCATGCAACATGTGGCCCGGACTCACAACTGCTTTTTGGAATCTACCCTATAATCTCAACAACATCCTCTTGAACTACTTAATAAATGTCTTGTGGAGATGCAAACTTCTGTTTTTTAAACGACGACCCCTACAGTAAATTATTTAGTGGACAATTTTTCTAAACATTTTTACGAATCAAAATTAATATTCGGAGTAGTTTTGAGTTATATAATTTTGTGTACTATGGATGAATTGAAAATTGTAGTAATTAGTATTAACATTTATAATTTGTAAGAATGGTCCAAGAACAATAAACGCACTACATCCAATGTTACATCTATTTTATATTTTTGTAAAATCGTTTTTTAAAAAAAAGGGATGAGTATGCTTTGTGAATCATCCTGTGCAAAACATAAGTGAAATAAATGAATGAAATAATATCATAATACTAAGGTGGTGTATGAATGGACGTAGCTTGATAGACTTCGTGGTGATATGCAGAGATAAATGTATCTCGTCCTGCTCGATTCTTATTCGATCGTCCGTTTAAAGAGAACCGTATAATATTATACATAATATGAATATGGGGAAACTGTTCATATGTCCCCCTCGGGGCACCAATATCATATCTTTTTTCGTGCATAATAGGTACTCGGAACGTTTGTAAAAATTTCGAATTTGTTTTACTATATAGTTTACGAGGGATGGGCGACAGTATACGGACTAGGTACCTAGGCATTAGATATAAAATACCTAGAGGCGCCGCTGATGCAGAAGGCGGTGTACCTACCGGTATATATGATACAATATAATATTATATATACCTATTAAATTATATTATATTGAATCCCGTTCACCACGTCTCAATGATCGTGTTCAATCGTTTGGTATATACGTTTGCTTTACGGTATAATACCTATATAGAGTCCTTACCCGCTTCATAGTTATTGCAGTCCGGCGCATATATAATAATAATATTATGTCTATACACACCTGTTCTACACTCGTTATTCCGATATTGGGTTTGCGTGGATCTACAAAAATAACGCACTTATATGTTATACGGGTGCGTGCCTCCTATATATTATATTATATTATAGTATATTATTATATGTTGTACGTTTTTCTCCGGGCACGTCGTGTACGGAATTTTCGACACAACTCTATTTATTTTTCAATTTTTTTTTCGCCATCAGCCGTAGCCGAACCTATATCAGCTATAAATCGAAACGCAAACACACGAGATTCGGCCCGAGATAAAATACGTGTTTATACCTATCCATACCTATATTATAATGCGAGTAAAATAATAACGTATAGGACCTAAACGTATATTATGATAATAATAATTATTATTGTGCGCACCGAATAGATACCGAAAAACACGGCCGCCACGGTCGTTATTATTACAGAAAACACGAACGTATTATTATTGGGCGTTTGTCGTGTCTCCTCGCGGTTGCGTGTTTCCCGTCGTTTTAAGGACGATATCCTGCGACGTTGGAATATTAATATTATCATAAGTAATAGGTAACCAATACTTAAAAACAAACCAAACGACGCCGTTTGCACACGATGAAACGCTCTCTCGTCCACGATGGAGACTGGAGCGGCGGCGCTCATAGATAATAATATTATATTGCGGTTGGCCGGAGGCGGCGGTGGTGCGTTATACGTGCCTAATAATGTTACGTGTACAATGCGCCATTAATCCGTTTAATATTAAAAAATGCACGAAATATACAACAGTATACAATATTGTTAGGTGTATTGAAAAATAAAAGCAAGAGAGACCAAAATAATATACCACGGATACCGTAAACTACGGTACCTGGTAACGACAATAACAACAACAACAATAATAATAACATCGTTGCCGCGATCTCTGCAGCCCGCGCAACAGCAGAATTCAGCAAGTGCACTCGCACACTCGCGCATACGCACGCAAATAATATAATAACGATGAGGATTGGTGGGTGGGTGGGTTGGATGATCGGTCGGCCGTCTTCGGCACCGGCATCGGCATCGGCGTCGGCGGCGGTTGCGGCTGCGGCGGCGGCGGCGGCGGGGCGGCGGCGGTGGTGGTCGTGGTGGTGGTGGTGGTGGTAGTGGTGGTGGTGTTGTCTGGAATACCCGCCGACGCACGCTAACGCATCCGTCGCCGTCGCGAATGGTTATAGGCTGCAACCGCCGCGTATTGCACACCACCAGTTTGGAACGCGACAGAAACGCATCGCACTGGCGCCCGCCTGCACTTTGACTGCGCCATCATGACGTTCCGCGTGTCGTCTTCCGTCTCGTTGCAGCGGTACCTCGTATTGTCGACCGCGATCTTTGCAACCGCCGCCGCCGCCACTGATGCAGTAGCCGACGCCGCTGATGCAGTAGCCGACGCCGCTGATGCAGTAGCCGACGCCGCTGATGCAGTAGCCGCCGCGTTCGTCGGCGATCCGGTGCGCGACGCGCGTTGTTTCGCCAAGTGTTACCGTCAGATCGCCGCTGAACAGCCCAAAGTACGTACCACCCACACGCACCCACACGCTTGAGCCGGGTTCACAGCTTCGTCACATCGTTCACTACTGACCATCGTCCCGGAGTCGGGTTGAACTCGACCTGTGGAAGCGACGCGACGACAGGCGTAGGCTGTGAACCAGACTTAACGTCCATGTTATTAGTACATTTTATCGCCATTAATTGTATCAATCGTTCTAAAAATTTTAAGTTTAAATATTTAAGTTTGGGCGTACCGACCATCAATGATAACGGCTGACCATGATGCACAAGTAGAGTTTAGATTAAATTACGAAAAACGTAATGTCTCATTATGCGTAGTACGTGCGACACGCGAATAAATACTCGATCGCAATAATCGGCACATACCTGCAGTTGGGTCCCAGATTCTAATTGAGTATACCGATTGGGTACCGCGTGAAAAAGCCTTCTGTACTATTTGGGTCTCCCATTTTTAACACTTTTTTACAGGACTGTGCGTAATAACGTGTAGTTATTGTTGGTAGGTCTACAGTACGGTTAAACAAATTTTTTTCTAATCTACACTATTTTTTATTTATTAATTTTCGTGATTTACAATAGTTCGTTGCCTATTCGTCAATGGTTGTGATAAATTAATAATTGGGTTGAAATTTATAAGATACAGATTTAACGAATTTGTAGCTATTAGTTGCCTTTTTCACAGAACACAATAATATTACGAGACTCGTCAATTGTGTATGGAATGTAGTGAGGTATAATCAGTGCAGTCCATCGAATATTATTTTATCTCCAGAAATGACGTAATCCAAATTATATTCGTACTTTAAGCCGGCATTACACCGGATTAGTCGACCGACAATATGCTGTGTCGTGTTTGGACGTGCTGTCGACATTTTGTAGGCTTATTATATAATATATTATTAACCCAATTCGTACAAAATTTAAAACTAATATTATTTTTGGGCCCAACTCGGATGCAGCCGAAGCTAATGTAGTAATGGCCAATAATATTATAATGGTAAAGCCTTCCGATCGGTAGACAATGTCCGTCGGAAGAAGTGGAGCTGACTGAAAGTTTTTAGCGAAATTTGAAGTCGCAACACTTACGACAAGATTGTACTTCCATCAATCGTCTGACCGAAAATTATGTTTCCGAGTTCCTGAATTAGTGAGGATGAGTGTATAGTAATTCAGTATTGGGTATGATAAGTGATAACGCGATACGTAATTTCGTCGGAATTGTTTCCGAGTACCAAAAATGTAATGGAAATGAGTAAAATGAAAATTTACTTTTCATGAGTAAAATAAAACAAAATATATTTTACATTCACTTTAATATCGCGAAACACATTATTTAGCTACAGGCTCAGAGGTACATACCATATGGGTCGCCGGATACCTTTATTCGACCACGCTAATGTATAATACGGGTATTGGTTAAACATAATAAATAAATATTTAATTTTAACATAATATTATAGTATTATAGGAACTGGTACAAAAATTATCCAACCGAATTATAATCGTTCTTTTATACCAACCGCTTTTGTAGGATCGAGTTTACAACAAAAAAGGTATTTGCGGCCCGAATTACATCTGTCCATCACTATTTAGTTTTCAGTTGTCTGAAACTGAGAACTGTCTACTTGTATGATATCATCGTTTATAATTACGAAAAAAGTAAATTAAATAAATTGTATAACTAACTTTTCTTCAAATACACAGAACTGTTTTCCTATACACATTTCACGTGGGTTGGTGTATTATGTTTGTATACGTATAGGTTAGACTAACTATTTGAAGAGGATGTCTCAACTTCTATATCTTTAAAATGTATTTTGAGTAGTGGCCAATGAGAGTCGTTATTTTTGATATTAGAATGAATTAAAAGGTTCACGCTATTTAATTAGACGTAAATTGAATAATAGCCATTTAGATGGTTGTTCTCTATTTAGGTTTTCGCCGAAGAGATTTAGGGTTTTTTTAACGTGACAATAGAAACTTTTGAGCGACGGGTCTTTGCTGGTTTTAAATAAATAAAATAATAAAAATTTATTGATACCAAAATTATAACAATACTACTAATAAAATATATAATTATTAATTACATTCAATTATAGTTCGCATTTCAAAAGCAAAGATTGTGCTGAAATCAGAGAGTTCATTAAAATACGTAATTTTTTTTAACCAAGCTAATATAAAATATGAATTTAATTATTGATAATGATAACAACATTATTTAAATACATTGGATAATTCTATTAATCGAAGGTGTTGACATGCATGCAATGTAAAACATGCTTTTTAAAACTAGTATAACATTTACATTTTAAAATGTTTAGTTCTAATGACTCAGAAATGTTTATACCTACTTTTGGATACATTTGCTAAAAGTAGTGGAACAGAAAACAGATTTAATATTCGATTTTTTCTTATTCCTAGTGTAATAATTATGGTTTAATTTTAATAAAATACATTTAAAGCAAAATATTTTTTTATAAAAATAAAATTTACATTATTAAAAGACAGGTCAAAATAAAGAAAATTAACTGAGTTAAGTCTTGAGTTATTAAAAGTTATGTTCAGTGGATAAAGGTATGATTTAAAAGCTGTGCCTCAAAGACATTCAATAGTTGATAGATTGATCTAAGAGCTAGCAAATAAGATTATACCTAAATATTTAATTTTAAAAACATTTTCAAGTAAGAGGGAATTACAACTGCAAATCACTAACAAGTTAATAAGTTATAAGTCAAGTTATTTTAAAGTTATTAACTTAACTTACTAGTTCGTTGTTTTAATTAACTTAACTTAAATTTAACTCATTTGTATCTACGTTAACTTAAAATCAACGTATATTATTCGCAATTAAGTTGATTTCGAAAATTCATACTATCCAGTCAAATATTATTTAAATGAGTTAAAAATGTTAACAGAAAAAAAAGATATATTTACGAAGAATTTCGTATGTATTTTTATAGATAAAAACTAATTTGTCGTATTAATTAGGGACTGATTAATAACAATATAGGGGTAACAATGTTATATAATATAGGGGTAACATTAGTAACCCGTATAGAAATATCTATCGATTATAAGACCACCTAACCACGATTCATAATACCTACTCATTAGTTATTAATCATTATTTTATAATATTTAAAGCAATAAATTATTGTATGATTATCACGAATTGTGACATTTCGATCTGTACATTATAATTTTATTACAAAAATAGTAAAAATACCTACCTACCTATACTGGTACATTTATAGTTTATATTATAAGTTTACACTATTGCACTATTATACAAATCTAATAGATATTTCGAATAACCTAGTTGTAAAATACATATGTTATTTATTATGTACCCATTGTACCTATGATATTCACTTCTTATAAGTAGAAATACTTATAGTAGTTGTTATTTTTTGTAATTTTTAAACGTTCAGGTAATTCTTTTTTTTGTATTATTAATATTAAACAATACAGTAAGCAAATGTACACACAAATTTAAATTAATTTAGCGTAAATCAAGCCTTCAGCCCTTCAGGTTTTAAATTACATACATTATTATATATTATATGTATACATCTATATTCATTGGTATATTACTATGTGATTGTCACTTATTTTAATACATTTTCAATGAATTTTTTTAAAATTAGCTTAACTTATTATTTGAAGTTAAGTTAATAGTATTCGTCAACTTAATTTAAACTCAATTGATGTATTTAAAACGTCTATTATCTACTTAACTTTTAATTTAGTCGAAAAAATAATATTCAACTTAACTTAATTCAGTAAAAAATATCACTAACTTGCACAGCCTTGCTTACAAGTATGAATTTTTTCCTAAACAGTTATAGCTATGTGCCGTTACATCTTTAATTTTTAATTTTGACAATTTAAGCACTAAAAATACAACATGTAGCTAATATTATGTAGACAATTATTAAGAAATATGAATAATACATGGTGTATTATAATAGTGTGTTAGTTTTTATTTTATGACTATGTCTTTATTGGTATATATTTTATTGTTATGATGTAAGTGTTTACTGTTTGTATAAGGTAAACAAAAATAAATAAATAATCGTTTTTTATTCTTCAAATATTCTAATTGCTGATCAGTCGATATAAATTGGAAATAACAATAGGGTTTCATTAGCTACTGTATACCTACGCATTAATAAATGAATCAAAGAGCCACAGGAAATATCTACCTAAACTACAAGTCGTATAAAATATAATCTCAATTGGGTAGGCACTAAAAAGGGTATAAAACTGTGTTTTATTTAAACTGACATAACTCGTCAAGTAGCCAGCCGTACTAGCTCTTGTAAGGTTTGATGACAATAATAATTTTTCTGTTCCTAATAGATGAAGTTTAATGAACATAAATAATTTATACACTTTCTGTCGTGCTATCGAATTGGTTTTGTTGTTCACTTACCTGTCATAACGATTTAACATATTATTACGTTCTACAGCTATTATTCGTGCCTCAACATCTGTTTCTGTTAATATAATTGTTTCATTGTAAATATGTAATAAACATAATGATAAGTTTATTATAATATTATGACGTGGTGTCAAACAACATCAAAACTCGAAATCTCGTGTATCAGGCAGTATAGAAGATAGGTACTGTGGTAGGTATAACTACATAATATTATCATTGATTTTGATTTCACGCAGAATTTGACAAGTGAGCGTCGTGAGCAATATTATCTGCAGACTGCACTACTGCAATGCGTACCCTATAAATTAAAAAATAAACTATATTACTATACGTTCTCGTGTTTTCTCTCTCTGATGTCCGATATCTGTATGACTGTATCGCATGGTAAACGTGCAAAAACATTGCAGTGTGATGTGTACGAACATAATAACGCGGAATTTCAGCGGAAAGAACCAGTTTTTTATAAGAACATACAATAGCTCTTAGATTTCGAATCACAAAAGAATTTATTTGGAAATCGGTTCATTAGCATTAAACCACAACGTAAAAGAAACACACACATACTTGTACATCTTTCTGTTTTCGGGTGAAACCTAACCTAACCTAACCTTAGTACTAGTGGTATAAATTCTAATATTTGATTGTTAGGCAGGTACTAGGAAAACCGAAGTACGAATATATATTTTTTTCCAAAGTAAAATAACCTACTATCCTTGTACAAATAACAATAAGTATACATTATATTATAAGTTATACTTCTTTAACACAAAAAAAAATATTTTAACAAAAAATTGTTGTATTTAATTAACTAGCTAACACTATTTTTGAATTTGGTTTAGAAAATACAATTACATTTTTATATTTTCAAAGGAGATTGGTCAGGTCAGATTAAATTATAATTGTGGTCTTTGAGTTGAGTGTGTCCATATTTCTACCGTTCGAGGGCACTCTTCATTTGATCTTTTAGAAAAAATATTTATATAACGATTGGTAAAACCATTATAATATACGAGAGTCTATGCAATGGCATGCACTTTATAAGTTATAACTTATTACTGTTGCAAAATGAAGTGCGGTAACTTCAAATTTAAAAAAAAAAACTTACAATAATATGATGTGCATGTAACTTGTTTTGTAAACGGTTGGTTGTTTTATGGAACCATATGCATTTGTGTTTTAAGTCTAAATATTATATTGATAACATTAAAACATAGATTAATGTAAATAAAGTGATGATGATGATGTATTAAGGTTATTGATAACCATATCATATATTTTCATTGGATCAATTTATCCAATGTAATTGATTATAAATACTGTAGCATGAATATTTTAGTAATATAATTTATATCCTATTTATTATCCATTTATAAATATTTATAATTTATAAAAGTAATACAAGTACTTATAATATAAATACTATATCCGATATAACATGTATTTGATACTGTTGTAAAACCAATTTAAAGGACTGGTATCATAATATAAATATTTTACTAACTGCAAAATTACTCTTAAGAGTTTAATCTCCAAAGTAATTATTGAACAATTCCAAAAATTAAATGAAAAAATGGAGGTGAACACTGAACATGCTTGGTGAATTACTTGTATATAACTATCGGTGTAACAGTTAACCTATACCAAAGATATTCCGAAATAATTGCAGTTTTTGTTTGATTATACCGCTGATAAATCAATGATTTTCCACTATAAATATGATAATATTATTTTAAAATTGTCGAGATTGAGATTTGAATCTATTAGTTACCGAGAATAACAAATTTGTTGTTGCCGTAATTTAAATGATAACTGTTATCTGTGAATCTTTGTACTCGGTGAATGTTTGCGTTGACGGATGATGGTCACATCAATCTAAAAATAGGTACTTAATGCTATTTTATATTAAATAATAGCAAAATTAAAATAATATAGTTATTCATCAGTTCAATTAAGATACTCTGATTGATTCAGTTGACGTTTTACAAGGATTATTATATCTAGAACTTAAAATTGATGTGTTACAATATTAGATTTATTAACAGTATAAAATAATTTTTTCAATAAACAATTTGTGAGGTGTTCTTAGTAAAACATAGATTGATGTAGAAATAAATTATATTATACTTATATAAGTACTATTGTAAGTGGAAATTCAGAATGTCGATTTAAAATATTCTTATGTAGATTGCCATATAATGAAGAAAATGAGAAACCGACGAATAGCCAAAAATCTTAAACGATTCAATATTCTTATTATGATATAGGTATAAAATAATAATGCGGGATGAAAAAAAACCGAAATCGAATTCCCTATTAAAATCTTCAGCAAAAATCGCTGGCTCATGATGAAAAAAAAAACACAAAATTATCCCGTGTATCAATACAATACACAATAATATGTCGTATCGGCACAATATGTTTGTCGTTATAATATATGCATATATGTATAGTATTCGTCGATTTATGATAATATGTATTACTGGATATAATATGCGAATATTATATTATAGAGGTACCCGCAATATAATAATGCTAACCACAACACGTATACGCACACACTTCCACGGTGGTTGTGTTTTCCGTAATTTTTTTTTTTAATATCTTTTAGTAAATAAAATCGATTGATTGTATATTATAGTCTATGCACATTGCACGCGGCATATATTGGTGTTTTTTTATAATATACGAACACTATATATTTGTGTAAATGTTGTCGCGTAGTAAATCGACGGACGGGGGGGGGAAAAAAGTAGAAATAACGACGAAAAAAAATCGCGGTGGCATGTAAAATATGCGTCTGGTGTTATTGGTGTATTAAAGTGTATAAGAATAAATAACGATAAATATATGTATAATGTATATAATATATAGTTTATAGTCTCCGCGATTACAACGACGGGGTTATAAAAAATAAAATAAAAAAAAACGGGACAGGCTTCGCCACAACCGCATTATTCGCCGCCGACGCCCCTGAGTCGTTTTTACGTCGACCATGGTGCCCATTAAAATATTATGTATAAACTTACTATAATATATATATATATATTATATTATTATGCATTTATATAGGTATGTACATGTACCGTAATGACGCTCGCATTATATACAGGGTGATTGATTTTTAGGTTTCAATATGGAGTAAAGATATAAATTATAATATTATAGGCGACACTTGGAAAAAATTGAAATGAAAATAGAAAAAACTGGTGTCGATAAAACGAAATTGCATTGGAATATTGAAATATATAGGTGTGCATATAACATCAATTTTTCTTTTGTCACATCACTATCTGTTTTCTGTTATGAAAGGCAAAAACTATCATTTTGCTTCCTTTAGAATAATATGAAGAGATGCAATTGCACCCTACGCCTGCCATCCGCACCCGAAAGAGAATATTCGGCCCATGGCCGTGAGCACACTGTTTTTGCGGGGGGGGGGGGCTGCCATCATTTTTTTAAGTAGCTCAATATATTTAAACAAAAATAACTTATCGTCACAACTCCCAGTATTTCCATAAAATATTTTTTTTTCTCAGAAAAAATAAAAACCCTATTTGTTCAAAATGATTTACAATTAAAAAAATAACAACTAATAACTCAGGATAACAAAGGATTAACTTGGCTGTGCAGTGGATGTCAATTTGCCGTGACATCTTCAGTGCACACGCCTATGGCCTATTAATAAGTTTATAGGAAACAGAATCTTTCACATCCCCATTGCCAAGTGTTGCCGTCCTCCTGTCTTCAAGATCCAACACTGCACTGATTTTACTGTATTATATAATATCTGATGAATGCATTTTATTCTATTTAATTATTTTTTACGTGATTTCATTTTACGTACCATATATGAACTGGTAAGTATTGCTCGATGAAAGACGACGGATATAGCTTATTAGTGGATAAAATCATTAGAAATCTCAATTACTACCATCTTAGCTAATGACTAGGTCAATAGAACTGGTAATAAATCACTTAAAATGTAAAACAAAAAACTATTGTAGGTATTATTAATGTGTTTCTCTAAATTATTTAGTGTCAAAAAAAAAAAATAAATAATGTAAAAACTATTTATTTTGGAAAACTGTCTTCAAGACACATACTTGAAATATTATTGAAGGTATACATCAAAGTTATCACGTGGGCACACGGGAACACCATTTACACCGTTCTGGATATAATTTCAAAAATATCGACAACTCGTCTTCTTCGAAGCTTGCATCGATTTGTGCCATAAAAATAGTGAATACGTATACACCTATTGCGATACATCGATGTTTTTTAATTTTAAGTAGAAAAAAGTGCGTTATACTTTAAGGTGTACCCAATAAAATCCACCCCGTGTGCGTATTTATTTTAGAGCACAATTATTATAGGTACCTACATTATTACTGCCGTGTCCCGTCTGCAATAAACAAATATGATAAACATCCTAACCTTTACCTAGGTTATAACGACGATATTAACATAACATATTCGGCCGGTTTCGCGACAGGTACGCGCGGTAATCGCGGTTTAAATAATAATCGTTTTTTGTTTTCGTCCGCAGTGTTATAGCGGTTGTCTGAACGAGCGGTGGATTAATAAGCCGGGCGAGTGTCCGGTCGGCGACCTTGACGGCGTCGCCTCGTTGGACCGACCGTGTCTGGAGCAATGCAGTTCCGACGACTTTTGTCACGCCGAGTACAAGTGCTGCCGACACAGCTGTGGCATAACGTGCCAACAGCCCGTCGGTCTAGCCGACCACCGTCCAGGTACGTTTTACCTATCTATTTTTTTATTTTATTGTTACGAGTTTGTACATAATATTTTGTAGAGCATCACACTACCATTTTTTGTTTCCGTTCAAAAAACCGGAAACTGTTTAGCTATAATAATCACTATAAGCAGTCGACTCTCGGTACAACTCGAAAATCTCGAATTTTCCAATCTCAATTTGGTTTCTCGAGAAGTGACTTGAACACTATTCACTATACTTACAATACAGTTATGCAGTTGTAGTTCCTTGCCGTCTGTTAAATAGTCACAGGCGCCCATAATAGGTACAATTTTAGGGAGTGTCAGAATAAAAAATTCTCAAATGTAAGATAATAAGGTTTAATGTTATTTTCACATATAAACGTAAATATTCATGTTATATTTCTAAAGTTACGTATACAATATAGTTAATTAAAAAAACATTTTAATAAGTATGGAAAAAAACATAGTGTATTTGTATACTTATTTCATACCTTAAAATAAATTTAAAAAAATAATTTGTCTTGATAATTAGGTAATATGATGGTAATATATATTGCTCTACAAGTTCATATTTTTTTCCCCGGGAAGGGGCAAGTGCCCTATTTCGCCCCTCCCCAAATGGGACCCATGTCAATAGTTTATCTAAGTACCAAGTGACAATATTAGATTTGTTATTACGGTTCTAAGGAGAAAACAGAAAATATTTAGCGAGTAGCAAAATTCGTCAGACCAATATTAAAGAAAATCTATGGTTTGACGTTACTGTCTTTTGCAAATACTCTTTGTGTAACCTAGGACTATTTGTCAACACGAAAGAGTTCAACTTAAATTGTTGAAGTTTGTCAGCTATGCACTTGAATAATTGATCACCTCCATCATGATTACTGTCCTGTGTTGGCAGTTTGGCTCATCAACACCACTTAGTTTCTTTAGCCGATCGTAGGAACGAAGCTAATTTAACTTAATATATTATAAAATATGTACTTAATGGCAAAATTGATTTTCCTACATCATTATCACAAATTCATTTTAAAAAACCTCCTCCCTTCACAAGTCATCCTGTCCCATTCAAAAGTTTCATTCTTATTATGACAAAAACCAACTTCTATGTCTTTTGCACGTTGAATGCTAATTTTAGACCCTCCTCTCCTTTTACTTAAAATATCAAAGTATTTTCCATATCATTATTAATTATAAATGTTATTTACCACAACTTAGGTACATTGAAATTACACTAATTATTAGTTCATACAATCTGTATGAAGCTTATTGTCATTGAATAAATAGGAAAACACTACAAAGTGGCAGATCACTGAAATTTCCCTCTCTCTATCGGTTTGTAAAAAAACGTGAACCGCCCTGTATACAACATGTGCCGTCCAATTTATCGTAAAATATTAAATCGTTTTTGGCGACGTTACGGTTACGTCGGTTACGTCGTTTCTATTTTTACAGGCTCGTTATGGACACGGTGATCTCGGTTTTGATGTATTTTGCAATGCACACAATATATAATATACCTCTATATTAGCACTTACATGTCGTATGGGTACCTACATTGAAAACAAAAAAAAAACAGCCACTCCTATGACGTTATTGGGTACATAATAATTTATTACTGTATTTTGAGATGGCGGTAAATATAATGAATTTTGTATCGAAAATGACTTTCGGGCGTATTGCACGAACAATTTAACAATGATTTACTACATAATGTTTAAGGACCTATTTTCAAGGACTGGTTCTTATACAAAAAGTATAGGATGTAACGTGCATCGGACTCCCTCCTAATATAGAGAAATATATATTTTTCACTAAATTTATGATCAAACAACATTTTATTTTTACATTTTACCAAACGATCCAGGTTTTTTTTAAACCATAAACTGTTCACCCAATTTTTAAAATTTGAATAAGCTATATTGCAACTTGGTAACTAAAAATTAAATGTATACATCAAATAGATTTTATCGTTTATGTGACTTTATTATATAACGGGTAATTTCCTTTATTAGTACCGGTATTAACGATATTTTAAAACATTGGTCGATAAATATATTAAAATACATGTTGTAAAATATAAAATCAAAAACATGGTTTAAAATTACATTGTAAAAATAATAAGAACGTTATGGCAATAGTTTTCACTTCAAAAAATAAGATTATCGTTGCAATAAAAGCGATTCATATAATATTGCAGTAAGTTATACGTAATAATAAATGTATCAATGGTAGAAAATGTTTTTTTTGTCGTCAATATGACATTGTTATATGATGTACTATTGTTATTATGTGTCACAGCGTCACAACGTAACTAAAAATAAACTTAAATAAAACATCCAAGAGGGTTGAAAATATCAAGGGGACGGGGTTGGCAGCGTTAGTACGCTAGTCATATTATATAACAATATATACGTATATAGGTACAATACGTTTATTAATTACAACGAATAGACCTTTATATATATATTGAACGATACAATTAATCGACTACACTAATGAAACATCGCAAGTCAATGTATTGGCTTTTACGAAGAAAATATTTTTTATGTACTATTTGAAGCGTTGTATAACCTTTTTATTTCACTATCAGAAGTATAGTATTTTTTTAAATATGTGAACGGTATGTCTACTTATATTTTTATCGAAAATTGAATAAGAAGATTAATTTAAAATGGCAATTTATTAGGAATTAGGAGTATCGGATAAAGTCGTGGTTCACTGGGACGCCTTAAATGAATCACCGCTCGCATAATTATACTTCCACCTATATTATGTAATGATAAAATGTTATTGATTAATTTATTATTAAACCCATCGGTAATAATATACGAATTTTAAACAAACGCGAGACAACTGCACACCTACTATATACGAGCATTTGGCATATTATATTATATTAATCGTGCACACTTTCTTTAAAAAACACTTGTGTCGAAGGTGTCGAGTGAATCAAGAAAATACAACGTAGCTGCAGTTGCATTGTGAATGTGCATGGCTCGAAGCCTTTAATTCCAAATAAAAAGATAGACATTATTAAACCTTGGGGTTTGCACATTATAATCACCCATTAAACCCAGGGGTTTGCACATTATAATCACCCATTAAACCTAGGGGTTTGCACATTATAATCACCATCTATTCTTATTACGGCCCTCAGGTCTACCGGACGTGCCAAAAGTCGTCGCTGTGTCCGACTACGGCAAGGGGCTGGCGGTCGAATGGTCCTCGCCGTCTCCGGGCACATCCGCAGGTCACGTGACGTACGTGGTCCAGGAACGGCACCACGTGGGCGCCGCGTACGTACCGGAGCGCATGACCACGTGGGCTATGGTTACCAGGACGGACAGGACACGGGAACAGTTCAGACAGCTGCGCGCGCCAGGACGGTGGTTCCAATTCCGCGTGGCCGCCATCAACGAGAACGGCACCAGCGGTTACTCGCCGCCCTCCGAACAGTTTTTCGTTGAGATCGGACCTCGTAAGTTCAATGGCAGCAATGTCCTACATATTATGATATAACACATATTTTATTAGAGTGATGCCCTACAGTGTTGGGCTCTCAGAAATTTTTTTTTGGTATCTAGTTAGGTAACTATGTAGGATATAAGATATCTGAACTCAAACACTATATCTGGATATAGATTAATAATTAAAAATTAATTTTTATTATTAATTATCCCGCTGCGACATACCTAATCCATTGGGCGTTGATTTTAGTAGGTTTTTAACCGTGGGGGGAGAGTACGGTTAGTTTGGAACACGTGTATGTGTGGCAAAGAGTTTTCACTAAGAACCCCAGTGGCCACCCATCTGAGAACTAGTGGCACTGGCCGGCGCTGGCAGTCAGAGCACATCAATTGTGACTGAAGCCAGACACTGCGCCCCAATTAATTAAATAATTAAATATATTACCAGGATAGAAACGAGATAATTGGCTTAACATATTTTATTCTTAAATAACTAATTTAATAACTTATATTTTTTTTTTAGTTTATTATTTCAGTATATTTACTTAATAGAAAATATCAATTAGTTTACAGTTTAAATTACCAATTATATTATGTAAGAGTGCTAAATAATTTAGATGATCAAGAATCAAGCGAATTTATTTATTTACCTATCTATCGCCGTATACGATTTGTATACCAATTTTGGAATTTATCTAGATAAGACAAATATAAGATGATTTTACCTAGATAACTATCTAATGACTATCTATATAGACTTTGCTAACTACATCTAACTATTGCGCTTGCACAACACTGGTGAGATCGCTGAATAACGGAAACTGCCAGTCGCTGAAATTGTCGTCCTCCATTGAGTGAGTTCAATTTTTAACCGACCAACACTTGCGTTTTTAGACCCCGAGTGCAGTGAGACTATAGTTATTACGCCCATTTTTAACCCCATCCGATAGTTTTGTATTTATAGGTATAACAATAAGCGCGATATTCAACCGTCATCATCGTTTGGTATCAATCGCGATTCTAAAATAATAATTATGTCATCGAGTCGGCTCATTACATAATGGCCGTAATCTGTGTTATAGCCACGGAATGACAATAATATATAATACTGTTATACGTAGGTATATATTTATAAGAGGCACGTGCGCCCACTAAAAAGAAACGGAGAAAAAAATTTACAGTTTTTTCATTTACACGTGCGGTGCGCATTTATATTCGAAATAAATAATTATCGATGCGCGTGTTCTGTAATGATATGTGTACGATATACCGCTATATATATATAATATGTTGTTAATTGTTATAGTGAGTTGCAAGATTGCACTTGGTATATATATTTTGTTTTTTTTTTCCATTCTTTTGTATACCACACATCAAGTATATCAACAAACCACGTCTTTTATGATTAAAATATTTTACTACCCACAAGACGTATGAATTCATTATTATTCGCTACCGATAATGTTATTATCGTTTTTAAATGTATTACATGTACAAATAATATTGTAGATTAAACGTCGTGACATTTTATACAACTTTATAGAGAATTATATAGGTTAATAGGTATGCGCGTAATTCAAATTTCGTGTCTGTCAACAGTTTATTTTAAGTTAAATGTACAACACGTTTGATGAAAATCCGACCGTTCAAATTGTTTATAATATAAGTAGTCGTTTTTTTAGGTTTTGTAATTTCTCTGATGCCGCGGACAAATAATATAGTGACATTTCATAATCTGAACTCTGAAACAGAACAATTTTATAAAAATCAATTAACGTGGTCTTATCCGTGTTGATAAAATAATATAATTGAATATTTGATTGTCCAACGAGTAGTAGAACAATTGTTCGTATTGTTTGATATAGGTACCTGCACATGCATTATATAATATGCGTTTTAATAACCAGGTAAAATATTTTTTTTTTGGTGAAAATGAAAATTGAACTTTCTTACTCATTTTGGAAGAAACGATAGTCGCCCTATAATTTACAGCAAGCGTAGGCAACCCTTAATCAACTTATGTGATAGTATATTTCAGCTTTTCATCGAGTGCTATTTTTAAAATAAATTCTATTAAAAATACAATTTTTTAACATACAATTCTATTAAATGTATTGATACAAAATCTCATGATATAAGGCCCATTGCTCGGTTGCTCTCGTCAAGTAATTTCGAATAAATAATATTATGAGATAAATCATTTTGAAGATTATCTTTAAAACAAAATTTAACAAATATTATACATACAATGTAACGTTTTACGTTTTTGTATCAATTGTTGTATCTCGCACGATAACGAAACGGGTAATATGTACAATGTTATTCACCAAAATGTATTACCGTGTTTGACTTGATTATTAGGTACCTACCTGTGCATTGTCATTGGCATAAGCTTCACACGGGGTAGTCGAGGCAGGCACTTGACTACTCTGCGAACTCTCCTCCCCTAAATATTAAATATTATCTATTGATGATCAATTACCATATTATATGTTCGAAATTAGGCAATTGTTTTCCATGCTGTAAGAGTGAATACGAGCATGTCGTGTGTGTTTGTGTGCTAATGTGTTATGTGCTCATGTATGACTACTCTGCCAGAAGTGTCTGAGCACGGTCTTATGGTTATTGGTATATCGTTGTGACCTGTGTATACCATAATATTCGTGAGTGGCATAACACGATACGTTCAATTCGTTTCGTTGCAGACGTCGATCCACCCGGACCGCCGCAAGACCTGAAAGTGACGTCGTTGAAATGGACCAACAAGGAGTACCAGCAGTGCGTGCTGTCGTGGACCCCACCCGCCGAATCCGTCCTACCCGTGCGCAAGTACAAAGTGTTCATCAGCGTACGCGACGGACCGCACGTTTACCACAAACGGAATGTGGTCCCGGCAGTGAGTTGATATAAAATATTAAAATAGTATTGCGTTGTTGTATAGTATAGGTACACCGTAACGACTTGTCGTGGTACACTTCTAAGGTTTTTACAATACGGTGACTCGGCAAGGTGTGAGGAGGAGGGTCTGGGGGAGGGGGGGGCTGTAGTTCACGCCGAAATTTCAGAAATACTTAAATATGCTTTCAGCGTTCTGTGAACGCAAGGCATCTCATTCCATCGAGGTGAAATCCTGGCTGTGCCAATGGGTTTTGTCATAGGTGCTTTGTATAAGCATATAACTTATGAGTTATAACGCAAAGTTGATACACTGCTTGGTTGGTCGAGCCAATATTATATGTTTGGCGAGTGAGTTTGTAAAAAATGAGTACGTTTCTCGTTCACGGAATTTTGCAAGTATTGTACCTACCTTTGCAGTGAAAGTATCATTAAAACACAACAAAAAACTGTAGGGAGAGCAAAGTTCAGTATCGGTGCCTATCGGTGGCATAGCCATGAAGA